TGGCCAAACCAGAGCTAAACCACTATCCAATCGGCTGGAAAAATTCGCCGAAGTCCAGCGGTGCCGCTGCGGCTTCTCTCTGTTTTTGCCTCCGATGAGGCCTTTCCTGGTCTCCGTTCGATGCAATTTTTATACCACTGTGATCACCGTTCTTTTCTCTACAAGTTGACCGGAGCAAAACATCAAAACGCGACTCACGCTGGAGAAGCCGCCGCACCCAAGAGCACTGCTGCCGGTAAGTCTCAGTTTTTCGTATTTTTTTGCCCACCGAGGGCCCTAGGGTTGTTTTATCGCAGGGACCAATGCAAGTTTGGCCGAATTCAGCCGAAAACGGCCAACCCGAGGCGGATCACCGCTGTAGGCGGCGACGCCGTCACCGAAGCACGGCGGAGCCACCGTGCTAGAATTCTGATATTGGCCGAAATGGGCCCTAGGTCTGATTTGGGACTTTTTGGGACACGTGCAGGTACCGGCAATGCGTTTAAGTTTTCCAGAAAAAAAAATTCAGAGAAATTAAGGACAGCCTGTAGGTGCACTGTAGAGCCGATTTCAGACCCCGAAACAAGTAAGGACTTATCACCATATTTCCTATCACGACATTAAAGTTTAAGAAATAATTAAACGGTATTTTGTGATTTTATAGATATGTATAATTGATTGAGGTTGCCAATGGAGCCCGAATCTAACACATTGTTGGTCAATTGTTGTTTGATCTATTTTTCAGTATTAAATGCAGTATGATATTTGATGTAATTATTTTATGGTCTCGTATGCATGAATCATGGTCTCTTTTATTATGGTTTGTATTATGATGAACCCGATACTGTGTTGTCTTGTTTGATGTTAATTACTGGTTTATATGTTTGTGTATGATTGGATGATTGAGACCAAAGAAAAGGGCAAAAAGGTTATGTGAATTGATAAGTGGATAATGTAGACAGTCTGACTAGATATCCTAGGAGATGGTGGACGGACCGGGTCTGTAGGGAACTCTACCGGGAACGTGGTCTTTCATATCGAACAGGATATGGAGACCTTATGTGTTTTTGCGCTCATACCGGACGGGGTATCGGGACGACCCGTTTCACCCTCATACTGGACGGGGTATTGAGGTTTATGGTTTTGGTGTCCATACCGGACGGGATATAGGGATGGCCCTGGAATCAGATTATTAATGTTAATGGTTCACGTATAGCGGAAACCCCTATAGATATTAGTATACTGGTAAAAGAGGAAATTTATCGTCTAATTATTGAAGTGAAAAAGTAGGACATGTGTTCTATTACAAAGTGTATATGATTTTATGATAATTATCATGTTATTGTTTTCATAGGTTATTTTCATGAATCTCACCGAAGTAAGTGGACAGTAAAGGTTTTTATGTTAATAAATGAGTTTGTTATAAATTATGCTCCATTGGTCGTTTTTGTTTTCTACCGACTTTTACGTCTGTGGCAGTGAGATAATGTGATTTCTTTACTGGGCTAGTATAGCTCATTCCTTACTTAACCATTTTAGATCAGGAAGACATAGTTCCCGAGCCCGTTCTGCAGGAAGATGGCGAGTTAGACGCCTAAGAAATTTATAGCTCTACTTATAGTTTTTATTTCGATTATCTCTTTTAATTAGCATATTTTTTTATGTTTTGAGTACGTTTTTTATTATGGTGTAAGGGATGTTAATCAAAATTTTTATTATACTTCCGCATTTAAGATTTTTAATACATACATCTTCATTTAAATTCCGGGGCTGTTACAAAATTTGTATCTTATAATGTAAAAAAACAGATCTTTTGAGTTTTTAAAGGTTGGATTTGGATTTGTAGTTTCATAATTTAACTAATTTTATGTTTGATTTGAATTTGTATAGTTGCTTATTTAAAAAGTAAAAAGCAAAAATAAAAACTCAATATTTACCGTAGAGAGATCAGTCAACTGGATGATATAAAGTTTCGTACTTTTCTTTTACTGGAGCAACTGCAATTGTAAAGCCCCGGGAATCTGTATGAGACCCAGAAATGAAATACAGGAAAGTTTCACAATTTTCAGATCTAATAAAACAAAAGTACTTTCTTTAATCTTCCTCCTCGTCAAATCCAAAGTTTTAACCAACACAAACTACCTCTCGAATTCTACACTACCCATCACAACATATACGTACACCTCTCCCCCATTTGCTAAAACTCGGACTTTCTTCTTTTTCATACGAAGTTTTATCCAAATAGTTATTTGGGTACTTCCATAATGATTGTTGATAAAGAGAAATCTGAGGGTGAAAAGAAGGTTTGGAGTTTGTGTAAAATGCCGTTTTGGCAAACACCCAGCGGTTCTTCTTCTTCGTCCTCATCTTCTACTTCATTGTCTGCTGTGAATCACAACAGTGTTTATCAGCAGAGCCACACTCTTCAGCCTGTTGAGAAATCTAATGTTGGTTCCTCCATCGCTGTTTCTTCTATGGCAAAGTCTCTGCTTCCTACTAGAAGAAGGCTCCGGCTTGATCCACCCAACAAGCTGTACTTTCCTTGTACGTGCCTACTCCTTTTTTTCCTTTACTCGGCTTCTTAGATTGTGGGTTTCGCTATTTGTTCGTCATTTGGACTTGGGTTAGCTGTGCTGATTTATATTTCGATCTGGGTAAAGATTTCTGTATCTTGATTCGTCGGTTTTACTTTCGGTTTAATTGGTTAATGATTTAATGGGGTGTGTTTGCTGCTGGGAATCTGGGAAATTCACATTGCTTCGTATATATCAGTTTTTGTTCTTTTGATTTGTTTGATTGAAAGATATTAACTACTAGATTTTGGGGGATTTTACATCATTGCTTTATTCAACCGGGATTGTTGGGAATTTGCTTTCTCCAAATGTTCAGTTGGGTTTAAGAGTGGTTTTAAGAGGCTGGCTGATACATCGCAGAATTCAGATCCTTTGTCGGCAACCAAGATTAGCATATTATGGTTTCTTTGTTGCTTTGGTGATCGCTAAAGTGTGGTATGAGAAATTATTTTGTGTTGAGGACAAAGTGATAGTTAAGGATGTCTAAATTAAATGCTTTTACCCCATTGGTTTTAAGAGGCTGGCTGATATATTTTAATGGTGTATCTATTTGTTAATTGGCCTAAGTTTGAGTGCTTGTACTCTGCTTCTATGTTTGATCAGTGCCTAATGCCTATATGATGTTGCTGTTTTGAAGATGAACCTGGTAAACAGGTCAGAAGTGCAGTTGAGATTAAAAACACCAGCAAGTCTCCTGTAGCTTTCAAGGTGTGGAAGCTGTAAATGTTTCCAGTGTTTGATGTCGATGTTTGATTTGTGTTCTGCATCTGTTTCTTCCTGTTTTGCCACTGTCAATGTTCATTTTACATGGGAGTATGTTGTTGGTTCATCCTCATTTGACCATCTAATTGATGATTTGTTTGTTATTGACAGTTCCAAACAACGGCACCAAAGAGTTGTTATATGCGCCCTCCAGGTGGTATACTTGCTCCTGGTGAAAGTCTTATTGCAACTGGTAATTTGTCTGCCTCACACTTGCTTTTTTTTTTTCTTTCTGGCTCCCTATACACACCCAAGTCTCCACTTTCTCTTTTAATTTCACATTCATGAACGACAACATGCCGTTATCATTACGGTTTTATGAACTCCTTGTTTGATTTCTTGCCTTGCAGTGTTCAAGTTTGTGGAACCTCCAGAGAACAATGAGAAACCAGTAGACCAGAAGAGCAAGGTTAAATTCAAGATCATGAGCTTAAAAGTGAAAGGAGAAATGGACTATGTTCCAGAACTGGTATAGTTTGAAGTCCCCTTCATTTGTCACTGACAATTGAATATAGCATGTTATTATTCTATTTAACATCGTTTTTTAATTATCTTCCTAAAGGTCACCAGGTGACTAAAATTAAGTTTCGATTTCTGAAATTGACAGTAATAAAGCATACTGCATTCTTTTAGTTTTTACAATATATGAGGGGCATATACCTCTTCTTTCACCCGAACTGAGGGACTAGGTAAAAAATCAACCAAGAAGCCTCCAACAAAATCCCGCATTTTAATATGATCCTAACACAAAATAAGGAGAGAAGAGCAGAAGTTCTTTTGTTCATTGATCCAATGATCCGGAGCATCGTTTCTTTTTCTTTTCGAGGAATCAAGTGGATCTCTTTGTAAGACTGCTTTACCTATGATGAGATGGATATTGACTAAAAGAAGAAGTGGATTTGTTTAGAGTTTGTAGGCTGGGTAAATCCGTCATCTTTAGTTCTCGTTAGCGAAACAGAGAGAGAGTATGATGTAGTAGAGTTATCTAGTTATGTAGGTTTATGGCTTCCTCAGACTAATGTCTTCATTTGGCATCTCAGCCTTGGATCAAGTTTCATTTGTTCTTAGTACTGTTCTATTTGATCTAATGGTCGGGATTTCAGTAATCTCCGACGAAAAGTTGATCCATTAGATTTATAGTTCCAATAGTGCTATAACAATAAGCAAATCATTACCATATACCTCTAGGATTAAATGTTTCTAGAGTTCAGATACCAGAAAATTTCATTCTAAACATGATGGGATGGAGGAAAAGCAGTTCTGTACCTGGCTCCAACCATTTTGGCACCAAGGCTTAAGTTTACTGTGAAGTTTTTGTTTTGAATTCTGGTTGTTTGCTTAATATTGTAACAAACTGGCATACTGCAACCAACTCTGCATTGGACGTGATTTCATGAACATCCAATTAAAGAGACCTTTTTTTCTTTTTTAAGTTGCAAAATATTCAAGCTTGGACATTTAAAAAGAATACCAGTAAAATGGATTCAATTTTTACTCAAAACAAAAACATTCTCACATGAATTTAACTTGTGCGGCTCATTTCCATTTCTGGTAAGAACATGAAATTTATTTTCTTGCTATTGAATAGTTTCCATTACGCCTATAAAATGCTGAAAAGATATGTATATCACAATCTTCACTAGTTTGATGAGCAAAAAGATCAGACAGCAGTGGAGCAGATTTTGCGGGTTGTTTTCCTTGACGCAGAACGTCCTAACCCTGTAAGTAGAATCAACTATTGCTAAAATGATGTTTCCTCGCAATCTCAGATCGCGAATTCTGTCATACTGTTGCCATTTCATCATTTAGAAATCTTTCAAAGAATGAATTTTTTTTTTTTTTTCTCTTTTTTTCCGGATTTGTTTCTCTTAAGGCACTAGAAAAACTCAAGCGACAATTAGCTGAGGCTGAAGCTTTACTTGAGGAGCGGAAGAGGCCTGCAGAGGACGCAGGACCCCGCATAGTTGGAGAAGGACTAGTTATAGATGAATGGGTGAGATATGTTTTCCCTTTCTTCTTTGCTTTTCATGATCATATCAACTTCTCCTTAATAGATTCTCTGACATTGTATTTTTTTTTTTTTTTCCGGGTCCTAGAAAGAACGAAGAGAAAGGTATCTAGCAAAACAGCAAGTGGAAGGGGTTGATTCTGTTTAAACTCTTCGTTTCCCTTGGCTGCCAATACTTGGGAAGCTTTTCCCTCGGGAGGAGATTGAAGCAATGTGTTTTGTGAATTTCATTTGGTTTCAGACACTTTGATGATTCATGGTTTCTTTGTCATTACTTGTAGATATAAAAAGGATTTTTGATTTACTTCTGGAAGTTTTGCTCATTCTGGATCCATTTCTGTACTGCATTTGATCTGGGATTTCCTTAAATTTATGAAACGGATTATGTTTTAGTGTTTGAGATCTGAAAAGCAAACAGTGATTAGCAGCAAGGGTGCTCCTGCATGAATGATAAGTGATTACTCACTTAATCTTGGTGGCATTAATTAATTAAAAAAACTAATCATAGAGTTAAAACGAAAAGCAAAAGAATAATCAAATCCAACCAAGAACTTCGTTACATTAATATAATAACGATATTATCAGATAATCGAACTTTATTACATGTTTGATAGGTTGAGATTGTTTTATAATCTTGGTGGATTTTGTTGGGTACGATTAGTTTATTGCTAATCCTCTATTAAGACTTATAAATTATGAAATAAATTATAATAAATAAAAATTTACCTTTTATCTTTTTTGTTTTAAGAATATTAAAAAAAAAAAAAAAAGTGGGGCCCAGAAGCCACGTGCGCAATCGAACAATATCACGTGATGCCCACACCTTCCTCTGCCTCACTCCCCGACTCAGTTCCAATACATCCTCATCATCTCGCAACGTGTCTATCCCACCACGGTCGTGGATTTATTTCTACTGAATTTACAAAATTACCCCCCCAAAAAAAACAAAAACAAAAAGATCAAACCCGACAAATTACGAAAAGGCGACAAAGGATGGGAGTGGGGCCCGCGATGAAAGCGACACGCGGCTGCGGGACCCGCTTGGGTGTTTTTGATTGGTTGGTTTTTTTTTTTTTTTAAATATTTTTAATAAAACAGCGATGAGTCATTGTGGGTGTCCAAGGATAAGCCCGCCACCTGTTCCCCGACCTTTCACGTGCATGTTACCTCGATATTCTCATCTCTTTAATTTATCGTCTTTTATATTTTTGTAAATGGTTCTCGAAATAACGTGAAACGAGTACTCATCTGGTGGAATGAGAAAATCATGAAGTAGATTTTTTTTAACTTTTTGGTAAATAATAAAAAATAATGGGGCCAATCAGCAATTAATGTATTCACAAAACGACAAAACTTCGACCACCACTCTTATCCTCCTAGTAGAACCACTTTCCTCTTTTTAATTACTGGATTTCCAATTTTACCCTTCCCTTCTATAAATACCCCCCCTTTTCCCTTCTCCCCTCAGCAAGAACCGGAATAGGAAACTAGCGAGTCCTCATCGGGTAAACGAAGAATCGGGAGAAGCATCTGAAACTGTACGAGAGTTGAAAAATGAGTTACCTGAATCGGTTGTGTATGGCGACGAGTGTAGCAGTGGTGCAAGGCCACACGGACCAGGGGATTCAATGGAAATCCTTGGCGAACTCTCTGAACCGCTCGAATAGAGGACTTCTGTCGGGTATCCGGCCGCTATCCGGTTCAGATGTTACGGGATTCGTTGGGAATCACGATGCCGGGGAAGAGAGGAGGAGGCAGATCGCCGGCGACGAGTCTCTCCGGCAAGTGATGTACTTCAACTGCTGGGGCCAGGGTTAAGAAGGAGAGAGAGGTGGAGAAGAGACCGGAAGTTTTGACACGGAGGCGTCACCGACCGATGAGAAGGGAACGGAGGAAGTGTAAAATTAGAGGAAGAGAAGAGAGGATTGTGAATAACTGTACATAAAAAGAACGAACAAGGGACTCTTTACCTTCTACTTGTGAATTGCTGATTGTGAAATCGATTAACATAAATGAATTTGAGGAATTTCGTGTTGTTTTACTCTCTTCTGTTTACAGTGTTTTAATCTAGTGAAGTAGACGATGTTGAATTTGATGAAATGCTCGGTTGTAGCAGATCAGCCATGGATGATTTTCTCTATCTGCTTCCAGAGAACTCTACATGAATCTGAGAAAAGATAAAATAATCAGATCTAGGAATAAATATCTTTAAAGTAATATGAACCAGAGAGTCTTTGCCTTGACTAAAGTGCGTCTTAGAAAGCAATAATTATTGAATATTTTTTTAAAGAAAAATTACCAGTACATTCTAGAGCTCTAAGCCACTAGATATTAAAATAACACTTCCACTTGCTGGATAAACTATTAATATACTTCTGCAACTATATATTTACTATATTATATTTCAGTCCATAACTCTTTTTTTTTTTTTGTTCTTCCAGAATTTGATTCATGAACTTGCGAAATTGATGTGAAAATTTTTATATATTTTAAATCTATTTTTATATAATATAATTTTTTAATTAATAATTGTTTAATTTTAAATTCATAAGCTAATCCAAGTACTAATAAATACATTTTTCTTGGTAAAATACAAACCTATAAACTAATTTGTACACAAATTATTTGTTTCTTATTCAATTCACGCTTACATTATTACACCCAATATATATATATATATATATCATACTGAGATAATAAACTCTTTCTGACATGTATATTTATATAAAGTGAGTTAAAGAATCTACTCGAACAAATAAAATCACCATGGCCATTCTACTACAACAAAGCGAAGTTACAATGCCATATAAAAGATTTGATTTACCCTTCCAGAAAAAGAAGCTCTCACTCTACAAAAACTCGCATCCTGAGAACCACCAGAGAAAGACAAAACCAAACCCACGGCAGAACAAATAAAACTAACCCACGTACATACATACATACATACATATATATATATATATATGTAAATCAGGAGAAAGCACAAACAGCAGCTAGAAATACAAAAAGCACGTTCCTCATACAGAAAGAGAAAAGCTTCTTTGCTTTGCTAGGTTGTGGGGTGTTATTTCCCAAGAAGAGACCTGTTCCGCTTCCTCAGGCAGAATGAAAGGCAATGAAATCTCCCGGATCATCAAGTCACCACAAAACGGGCATTCACTGGCTATTGCGTCATCCAGCTGTGACCGAAGCTGCAAATCAACAGACTCGTGAGTATCGATTCCCACCAAACTTTTCTAGTTTTTTACATCAATTATAAGAACATAAGGTGCATCGACGTTTGCTGGTGGATGTGTAGAGACTACAGAAGTATAACAGAAGCAACAGGATATGGGTGATGATTTTGCCAGTGTATGAATGAAATTCTCTAAGGTTAGAGCAGCAAAAACAAAAAAAAAAAGGCAACAAAACTGTACATATTATATGTAACGTAGAGCAAGACACTCCTAGTTCCACCTTGTGTCTGATTCCCAAGTTAGCAATAATAGTCAGGAGTTCATACATCTCCTATGCAAATTAGATAAAGAAAAGGATAAAACTCCCACCTTATTTGCAGGAGTCATGCCAGTTATGGATTCCTCAGTTAAGCTGCCGTTTTGATCCTTCCTCACTTCACTACCAAGTAATGTTAGCTGCTTCTGCAAGCCGAGAATGTACTCCGCCTGCAATATTTATTCAGAAACCCGGATGAAGGGGAAATTTTGAGAAATGAGTAAAATAATCCAGTTGCATGGAATGGATAACCAAAGAAGAATCTAAATTCGTCAGCTTGCTTGCTTACCCAACGTGCATGCTTTAAACTTCATCCTACTATTGCATATAACAAAATAGGATAAATTATTACTTATCATTTTTCCATTTGTCATGTTATATTTGGATTCTGAAATTTTTTCGTTACAATTGAATTCTCCAATTTATAACATTTTCAGTTCATGATATTTCTATGCACTATGAAATTTTTGACAGAAAAAATGTTAAAACGTTTTTCTGTTTTCCTCATATTCTGCCTTTAATAGAGTTTGAAAAGTTATACAACTAAAGATTAACCCTAACAAGAATAATTGATTTGTTTATTTAAGCAAATGTGGAAGATAATGATAGACATCAAGCAAGAAGATGTCTGCAATAACTATTTTTTTTTTTTCCTTCCAATTCTCAATTCTAAATAGAAACATTATATTTTTTAAATCTCTTTTTGTATTAATCCAGTAATACATTAAGAACTTTTGCTATTTTTGTGATTCTTTTAAAATCACATTTTTTGAAATAATTTTATAAATTTAGAACTTAAATTATAAGGAAAAAATTTAAGACTAAATTGCAACGTCAACTCCTAATTCAGGAACTAAATTGTAGCATAATCACTACACTCACAAAGTCTGCTGCCAGAATGGGTATGCCTTCTGGTCGAATTGCTGTTGAAAGCATAAAATTCTGTCCTTTTTATTTACAAAAGCCCCTTTAGACTATAAGATAATAGTTTTGACTCTTTGGTTGGAGTTTTCTCCAAATGTCATAAAATCCCTTAACAAGGCTGATGCAAAACCAACCAAGTAATAATCTTTGAGCCTGATTACTAAAGCAAATAAAAAGGAAAATGAGAAGAAAAAAAAAAAAAAAAGAATAAAAAGCTATTCGTGAAACTTACTTGTATTTCATCAGTACAGCGTGTGACTTGAGCAATCAAGCATTGTGCGTGGAAGGCATGCCCACATGGAAATACATAAAAGGGGGCCATCGGCCCCGCTGATGTATAACCTTGCGTCATTCTATATTCCCCAGCCGCAGTCAAAATTTTACGTTTGCAAACCTGATATGTAGAGAAGTCATAATCAACATCAACATACTAATTTGGCTGGTAATCTTTATTGTTCATCAGGTTTGCAGTCAAGAGAAGGGCAAGACCAGATTAATTTAATTGGAGTTCCTGTTCTTCAGGAAATAGAAACAGATTAATTTTTCTGAACAAATAAAATAAGTATGAAACCAAGACCAGCAGTCTGAGATGAAACCAAATTTGCGGAGAAAAAAAATTTGTTCCATCATGAAAGCCAGAAAAGCAGAGTATTGAAACTTAAAATTTTCTTGAGATCTAGAAACAAAATGAAAGTTTAACTAAACAAAGCATGATATTGTAAATCTCTGGAAATGTCATATGAGATCTGGCTTAAAAAGACATTTGAAAAATCTTCATTTTAGTCTATGTATAGAATTTTCATCTCATTGATAAGAAGTAATTATCATGGTTAGCAATACCCCGCACTCCTCATCACGGTCAACAACAGCATATCTTTGAGCAAGAGCACTGATATCATTTCTGATGTTATCTGCACCATGTGTCGCATCATTCATCTCTTGTTTCAATTGCTCAATCTGCTTGTTGTAGTCCTCCAGGGATGAGCAAATTGCTTCCTACAAGCATGTTTAACAAAAATAAAGCGTTTAATTTCTGATAAAGAGTATTCAGCAGCAGACGAGAAAGGTAGTATTTATAGTCTAGAAGCTCTTTTATTACAATTGACCTATCTAGATGGATAAACAATCACTTTTCTGTTGCTTCACTTATTGCTTCCTAGCAGCAAATATCGAGTCAATACTATCAAGAAAACCATAAAATGAGCAATTAAGTTCGTGATCACAAAGGGTAACAACTAGACTGAATAAATTCCTGAAGAAGCTGCAGTAATGTATGAAAAGCATAATAGAAGCCTAAAATCCCATTAACACTTAACAGAACAACACTAAGACATGCAAGATTATGGGAGCAAACTAGATAAAAATCAGACTCGGAGAAAAAAAAAGAGAAAAAAAATAAATTCAACACCTTAAGTAGCCAACTCACAAACAAGCTCTTTGATGCTATATGCATTGCTAGACTTCCTATAGTCGTCTATCTTTTTATGAATAACAGCAAACTATTACCAAAAGCAGTAAAAACAGAATGATTCCCCATGAACGGAATTGATAAGTGCAGATAATTTCGATCTTACTTTGAAGTCATCAATTAGGGCAAAGTCAGGAAAGAAAGGCAATATGTCCTCAATTTTTAAAAGACCATCAGTTTCCTTGAGAAATGCTATTGCCCTCCTTATATTTTCCCTCTTAGCTCCTTTTTCCTGTTCAACAACGTGTTTTGCAACCATGAGCCAGAGTTTCTTTCTCAGGTCCTCGTCATCTTCAACTTTATCAGCTTCAGCCATAGCAAGCTCAGGGTCAACCTAGTGAACCAAAGAGTAGAAATTGTCAAAATAGTGTTCCATCCTTCTAAAAATACATTGGAAAGAAATCTCATCTAAGGAGATCTAGATTCTGTTTCTTTTTAGTTATCTGATTGAGCCAACCCAAAATGAAACTGTCCTCCACTATTCCATTCAGCGAGAGAAAGAGCCTCAGTACCTTGCATCAAAATCAGATAATTATATTCCTCTATGAATTTCATCTACATGTATGATCTGAACACCTCAAAGGACCATAAGTTTGAAAATGCAGAAAATAGTTAACTCTGTTTCAGTAAATGCAAATAAAACAAGAGAAATAATGAAAGCCTCTGTCGCATGAAAGGAGTACCTGTAGAGCAAGGGCAACTGCTTCTTCATGCATGGACATCATGCTATATATATGAACACAGGCACGCATTCTCTTCTCCTTGAGGCAAAGGCGCAAGGCATACTTGGGATCATAAAAAAATTCAGGTCCATTTTCTATTCCTTTTCCAAATTTGCATTGCAGGAAGCGCAGAAGGGAACTCTCATCTTCCTAGTAATAGTAAGAAAGAAAAACCAATTGAATGTAATACAATTCCCAGGGTCAAAATTTTAATGTACATGCAAAAAGAGGTTGGAAAGAATACAATGGAGGAAAGAGACTACATATGCAGATTGGCAGATGGTTCTTGTCCCAAAGATCCTATTACCTGATAATAACTATCCAACTTTTATATGTATCGAACTAAAATGGACCAAAACTTGGATTGAGTCCATATGACTTCTTGAGGCAGGATGGACAGACCCTCATCCCCATAAGAGACATTTATACAATTATGATCTTTTTAATGTTACTAAAGATATATAATTTCAGGAACTATATATTGTAAGTTTATTTCTCATTTAGTATCCCGTTTAGTTATTTTTCATTACACTATGTTTGGTTCAATCCCTGTTCAATTCTTGGTCAGTTCTTAATCCCAAGTTTATATGACTCTTCATATGTATAATTAGGACATATTTTTCGCATTACCACCATCCCCATAATTCTTTAAATGTGGACATTTAAACATTAAAAGAAAATTAAGATGAGGGTGGTAGTAACTCAAACTCAATTGTATTCTGATTATGCATGACTAGACTAACATGAAAATTAGAACTACGAATTGACCAGAAATTGTATGGTAATGTAACCAAATGCAACCTTATAGTCTTTCAATTCTTTAGTTTATCTTCACGTTCATTTGAATTTTAGATAGACTCGTTTTGTCCTACATCACTCCCACAGCACAAATATCAAAATATGTAAATGTGTTTCCCCAAACCAGCCTCCGTCTCTCTGGGCTATCAGACACAACTTTACCCTCAATCAAGCGTTAAAAGAACTGCAGCAAATTAAGACTTTAATAAACAATCTCTAGAAAATCAGATTGGAACTTTCTAGAATGTGTCAAAAAGATGTCCATGTAGCAACATTAGTCAGTCTAGATCATCATGATTGACAATCAGTTCCTTTTGGCCAGGTTATAAGAAATAGAAACTTTGGACATTCCAAATGTTGAATGTTTGACACAAATTTTAATGCCAATTTAAGCAATTTACCTGCTTGGCATACAATGAGAGCAGCAAGTTGTGAACCCCTGGATCCTCATTATGCAGACGATGAACACAAAATTCCAAATATTTGACTACTTCATGGATTTCATTCCTGCAGGTCATGATAAGTAGAGAGTCTCATTTCCACAGATAGTCAATATACAGAAATGGAATTTCCAAGTTCATATTAACTTCTGATTATAAGTCAAATATCAGTAAGAATCGATCTTGAAAATGTATACATTGATACAGTCATGAAAAATTAAGTTCTCTTATTCTAATGATTTTACAGTCATGCTATAGGTTAATTTGTAATATAATTTGCTTGCAAATTGACTACCATATCCTAGAACCTAGACTTAGCTTTCAACAATGGATTTTGGTTTTGATTTAATCAGATTCTGTTTAGGTTGAAATGGTAGTTCAGTTGCAAGTGTATTTGGTGCCTCCTTGCAACCCAGTAGCAATTTGATGAGCACAGATAATCAGAAGTTTTATACCCTTCCTCCCTTTCCTTCATTCTTATCCACTTCTCCTACTCTTTTCTATACCTTTAGTACTTCTATTTTCTCCTCCTCTCCTTTCACTATTCTTCTTCCCTCTCTTATTCTGCATCAGTAAGATATGAACATTGCCCTACAAATACATCATTGGAACCAAATATACCAAAACAATGAACATTTCATGTCATAAACCAAGCACGGTACATGATTCCTGAATCTCAAGACCAATAGGCATAGTACTAGAAATCTAGATTTAGGCATCAAGTAATCATTAATTTACATAATCAACATTAAAAATAATGACTTAACTAATAAAATTCATAACTACTAGTCCATAAATCATGGATCATGCTAAAAAGAAAGGATTTAGAAGTTACAGCATCAGCTGAGGTAACTGGAGTCAAAGTCAGCAGTTATTTAAGCTACTACCACTTCAACAGATAACTCTTGAACAACTAACTTGAACTTCATTATCATGGATATTATAGCAAATAAAATATATGAGTTCATGCCTTAATGGTGTGCAAGAAACATCAATGTTCAAAAGAACCAAATATCTGTTCACATTACTTTGCATGAGGTTCACTGGAATAACGCATCATTGCAGGAATCAGTTTCCTTGGGTTAAGATGTTTCATGGCCATCCATGATTCCACAGTTTCATATGCATCAAGCATGATGAGATCTGGAGCAAACTTATACTGCAAAGCACAATATTATCTTCTGAGAAGTAGACTAAGACCAAGAGGCTGTGGCCTCTTAGAACAAGGATAAAGAAGAACGAGAAACCAGTAAGCTGAAAGTGATGGGGAAAAAATGTTATGTTCCATCCAGATGCTTGATCTATACCTGAAGATCAACTGGAACAGCAGGTTTCTGAAGCACTTCCAATGCTTTCTTTGCTTCCCCTTGCTAAAGGAAAAAATAAAATCTGAAGATTACATCAAGAAACTAACATGCAAAAGTTAAAAATATTTTGCTGCAACCAATGAATAAAACATTATTTTTTATTTCAAACTAAATCAGCAGATGACTTCTGTCTGGTTGAGTTTGATTGTGGCTATTTGGTAGATATCTGCTACAGTTAAGTATTAGCTCAAACAAATGTTATAATTTCTACATTTCAGAAAAAATAATATACATATGGCCGTATGGATTAGTTTATTAGTTTTGATGCTTTAAGCTCATATAGCTTTTAGGCCTAAAGCACTTTAAACTCATACTGCTTTAAGCTTGTAAAATGTTTGGATTACTAACTTATTTCTTTGGCTTTTAGATTTAAAAAAACTATGAAGTATTTACTAAATTATAAGCTTTTAAGATGAAATTTTAGTAGTGAAAAAAAGAAAGAACTATTAGTTGTTCTTTTAATTAAAAAATTACCTTATGCATTTTATATTATAAAAACTTAAAAACAATTCCATATTTTTATCAATTTAAGAGTTCTAATTTTCTCAATTATATTTATACGATATTTTAATAAATTCATTATTAAGATATTTAATCAAATTTTGTATTTACGATTAAGACTTCAATTATATATTACTAAGCTATTTAATTATATTTACTATTAAGAATTCAATTAATATACTGAGATTTTAAAATTATGTCTGTTATTAAGATATTATCAAATTTTATTTAAAATTTGTTTGTTGCAACTAGACTTATACTAAATGCGAGTTAGCATTTTTCTCTTATAGTAATCACAAATACAACACCCAATGAAAATATCAAATATCATTAAAATATTGTTTTTTAAGTAATAAAAAAAATTAAAAAATTTAACAAAAATTCAAAAAAGAAAAAAAGAAAGGTTATTGCCGCTGAGCATCTCCATTTTGGGAGCTGACCACAGCTCTGTTTAAGGGGGATGCCCCAATTTTTTTATTCAATGTCAGAGCTGCAGCAGCAGCAGCCCCCCATTTAAGAAAAAAATGCAACTCCCAATTTTTTCTTTTTTTTTCTTAATGTGGGTTACCAGTAACAGATATACCAAAAAGCTTTATTTATTAGGTTAGAGTTGGAATTTAGTATTTCGGGTAGGGATATACAAAGGTGCTTAAAACTACCTACTAAAAGTTCTCCAAAAAAGAAGCTCATCCTAGGAGCTTCTTGTTTGGCGGCTAAAAGCTGAAGAAATTTTAGCACTTTTTATATCTTGATAAACAGTTAGTGGCTTCTTTCATAGTCAAGATGTACTTTAGCACATTTGACACAAAATAAGCCAATCCAAGTACCCTATATATATATATATCATAACTTCTCTAATTAACTTAACCAAAAGCACCGAGGATAGCCATTAGTGAAAACTGCATAAGTTCCGCCCTAAACAAATAGTTTAACTATCATATAAGGTCCAACCTTCGGGATTGGGAGAAGGAGACGGGTAGGAGGGGGAGGTTCAAACCGCATGGTAAGAGTCTTTGGAGGAGAATGACGGATGGCAACAAGGAGTTTATGAACTGTGTGGGGTGGAAGGTTGGGAATGGGGAAGAAATAAGTTTCTGGCATGATGAGTGGGTGGGTGACTTCAAATTAAAAGATCGGTTTCCTAGAATTTTGCAATTGCGAGTGATAAGGAGGCTAAGGTGGAGAAGGAGTTCGGGTCCGTGGATGGTGATAGAACCTGGAGTGTTAAGGTTAAGAGGAATCTGCAAGATTGGGAGATTGATGAGTACAGCAACCTTCTACTATGTTTAGACAAATATTAAGCTGACTAAAAAACATGATGAGAGACTATGGAAACTGGATATTAACAGGGGTTTCTCGGTTAAGTCTTTCTCTTACAGTTTATGCAAGAAAGAAGGTATTCCGAACATGATTGCACCTTTCAAGCTAATTTGGAAAACTAAAGCGCCACCTAGAGTGGCTTTTTTTACTTGGGAGGTGGCGAGAGACAGCATTTTGACCATTGACGCGTTAAAGAGAAAATGAAACACCATGGTGAATAGATGCTACTTTTGTAAACTGATGAGGAATCGTGTTACCATTTATTACTGGGCTGTCTAGAAATTAACAGCATTTGGGCTATGGTTTTTGGGCTGCTTGGTTTGGATTGGGTCATGGCTGGGAATGTAAGTGGGGAACTTTGGGCTTGGACAGGGTATTGTAAAAAGAAAAAGTACATTTTCCTTATTCCACTAATCATTTTTTGGATTGTGTAGAAGAAAAGAAATGCGAGGGCTTTTAAGGGCATTGAAACTAATATTATAAACATTAGAAATAAATAGTTTCATACTTTTGGGTCTATCTTGTTAAGTCATAATGTGCATAATTGGAAAGGCATAGGATTAGTCATGAACCACTTGATAGATATGTAACTATTTTGTATACAGGTGATACTCCTTTGGTACTTTTGTGAATAACATTTCTCACTTTTATTTCAAAAATAATATAAGGTCCAACGTTCTATAAATAAATTTTAACACCACTAGGAAAAGGGAAAACTAGATGAGCTAGTGACAATTATAAGACTATGGAAGTTTCAGAAAAAAATGGTAATTCTCTACGAGGACCTCATATCCTGAAGAAATAAAAGGAGAAGATTTATGAAATGGATTACAAAAACAAAGAAAAAATTTCAAGAAAATCATATTATGAGCTTGCAATCATTGATTTTAGAGGAAAGAGTAGGCATGAAAAGTACCTGAATGTAATGGTGAATGACAATTTCATACTGCTCCTTGAGGCTAGCAAAATATACCACTTCTTCAACTCTACCATAACTGAGCAATATGAAACAAATAAAAGCTTGTCCCAGTATAGTTTCAACAGTAAAAGAAAATCAAGATAGAAATATTGAAGAAATGATACTTTTCCATCAAAAACATATACTTAAAAAATGAGTGTGGGTCCTCTATATAAGCATGGTGATGCATAATAAGAAAGACAACTGAAGACTGCAGCAAAATAAGACTTACACATTCGTTTTCAATATCCAAAGTCATGAAAGTTGATGTTTAGAGGTCAAGAGACAAACAACTATAGCAGGCATTTCTAAGAAATTATATGATGATTACCTTTCTAAAAGTCTCATCGAAGTTGCCTCATCCAATACATCCTTGCAATCACTTAAGAATGCGCGGAACTCTTTAATAATCAAGTGATACTCTGAACTACAATTCTCTAATGCAGCATCATCCTCCAAAAGTAGCCGGTTGATCTAAAAAATTGGATTAAGAAAATTATCAATCAAGTTATAAATGTATCTTATTAGTCATTGCATTAGAACTTTTTCTAATCAAGTAAATTACTCAGTTTCAGAGATTATAAATCACGAAAAATGAACAGAAATCACAATGGTTCCAAACTATCTAAGAAAATAGACAAAGAACTGCTTTCATGGGTTTACATCAAAATTTCACCAGCTCAATGCAAAATAGTATGGGCAAATATTAGTAGTAAATATGACTTTTCTCAAGCATCAATTTCCAAAAATATGAGAAGGATGAGAGATAGCACAACCAAATTCAGATTGGCTTATTTTTTAGAGCGTTAAGTTTATGGAGTTCTAAGCTCCATTGAGCTCTAGGTCATGAAGCACTTTTTAATGGAAAAGGAAGAATAAGCAGAAAAAGAAAAAAAGATTACAACAAGGGAGGACTAGGCATCCTTTGAACAAAAAAGAAAAACAATAAGAACAAAAGGCTGCAAACAACAAGTTCATTCAATTAAGACTAGCTGGATAGTTTCTACATAAAATTAGGCTGGTACAGTTTAATATTACTTATTTATATGACAAGTTTAGACAGAGAGTTAAACAGGTTTAGGCTTAGTCTAAAAGGAGTTGGGTCTTTAACGAGTTAAATCTATCTAGACTTGTTAAGAATTAAGTCTAAACAGATTTAACCTGCTTAACCCGTTTAAAATCCTTTGATTGGTCAAGTTGGTTAATCCCATTAATATATTTGACCTATTAGATACATGCATATATGAACACATATACATAATCATATATGCACCTCTGTGTGTGTGTGTACAAGATATATATGATATATACTACGAATACCGAAATTGAATATACATGTTAGATAAATTCATTCAAGTTTCGGATTAGTTAAATCCTTTAATATTTCATGATAAACAAGTTAAATGAGTCTAAACAGGTCAACCCATTTGTAAACACATTGTCTATGGGTTCAGAGATCATGATTCATTCTCTGAACAAGTAGTGTACAGGTTAAGGAAAGTAATCATTGTACTATGCATTGACATGATCCTTTTAGACACAAGCATCACACGTTTTATCACCCTTATGCAAACAGATAAACCCTACTTGCACTAACCCAAAGTGAGCCAGAAACGATATCTTATTTTTAAAAAACAAAGAATGAGAACTATGGTCCTTAAAATCATGGCATTCTATCTATCCTCAACACCCACATGCCAGCAAAATAGCATCTCCCTCCAAAATAACAGTCCATCTTTTGCTTTGCCTGTGCTACAAAGATAAGAAATAAAAAGAATTCAAGTTTCTGAGAAAAACCCCAACGAACACCAAAGGTCTCAAATAACCAGGTTTAGAGCCTCCAAGCCACATCATAATGTAAAACAGAGAAGGCCATGTGACTCAACAGCATGTAAGCACATCACACTAAAGAAAAAAGTGCGACCCAGCCTGTTAACTTGAAACTGATTGTTAGTATTGAATCTATTAAGAACCAATGTCCAAAACAAATTAATTTAGGAGCATAAACCATCCAAAGAAAGTTCAATAGAAAGATTGTGGGTCAGACAGAGAAAGTTTTGCAAATGTAGTAGCTCAACATATCCTAAGATATAAAAAAGCATGACTCAGTCTGTTAACTTGAGCTGATTGTTAGTATTGAGTCCATTAAGAACCAATGTCCAAAAAACTTAGATTTTAGGAGGGAAAGCCTAAGAAAGTTTTAAAAAATAATCCGGATAGAAAGATTTTGGGTTGAAGAAAGAAAGTTCTGCAAGTATGGTAGCTCAACAGATCCAAAGATCAATTGTCAAGACTCAAGGAAGAAACAACAGTCTCAAGAAGATGAAGCAACAAAAGCATACCATCCACTTCACGATAATCAAGATATCTATGTAAAAAAAAAAAATTCCAAGAAATATGAGCTTGATTATGTATCACCAAAAACAGAGATAGGGTAATTATGGCAAAGTGAAATGTTATAAAGGCATAGAAACCGAGTAACCAAAAGGGATATGACCAGGACATGGGTCCTCCAAGAACAAAATACAGAACCATTCCCCACCTTGGGAGAAAAGAGTCATAAAGTTGAGAGATAGCTTTCCAGGAATTCTTGTGAGAGATTCTGGATTTAGTATCCAAACTGAGTTTATGGAGCTTTAATCTTAATAACTGTTTGGTTCCTTGAACTTATTTAGCTTTAAAAAGTTGGCAAAATGACTTGTCAAAAGAACACTAACGAAAACACCCTAAGACGTTAAGGGTGCTTTGTGAAAAACAAAAAGGTTAAAATAGCCTTGACCCATACTAGTTTAAAGCATAAAAGAAGAGAAACACTAATCTTTTGACCTTTTTAACTTAAAAATTCGAGGCATAGCTTTAGCTTTATGGTGATTTCACGGATGACCCAAACACTATAGATGTTTTCTTAGTGCAAAACCAGCTTTAAGTTAGATTGACACAGGAAAAAGTCAATCCAAATGGACTGTATATCTAAGCATCTTCCTGTCTGACTTGTGTTAAACAGTAACCACATGCTATTTGATTGACAAAGCCACATTGTACAGGAGGCATGATAGAAAGAAAATATGTAGGCAGGTTCTCATCCAACAGTGAGGCATAGGAAGAGCAAACCTTGTCCAGGTACAATTCAGTTGCCCATGTGGATATCATTGTTATTTGGCATTTGTCTTCTTTTGCAAGATTATCAAGCTTCCGCAATAAAAATGTTCTTAGAGCATCCTGCAAACAAGGAAACATATGAATCTGTGAATGCACATGTCCAACTCCTACATTGAAGCAAGACTGATTGGAATTCACATCCATGAGAACCAGTCCGCACAAATTCTGATGGGCTTAGACAAAATTTATAAATTCTATTGACAAAATCGTTTATAGATCTACTTGAAACTCCCGTCAAGCCTAGTTATGCATTGAAATTTTAGATCTTTCAAACATCTTGCTAGAGGGTATGAATTTTTTTTTTAAATAAAAAAAAATATTACTATATAGTCTACTAGAAAACAATAGTGCATTTCCCATGCAATGTTTTCCTATAGTTCAGTTTCCTTTTAAGGTTCCTTTTCTTGTTAATATATATCTCCACAAATATTGTGTACTATTCCTTCAATATAATATCAAGTGAAATATCATAATAACATCTCAGTTCAGTCTTCTAGCCTAGTATCAAAACATTAGGTAGTAGGGATTAGTAAATATTCCTATTCTCTAACAATTTTAACAGGTACTATTCCTTCAACATAATATCAAGTGGAATATCACAATAACATTTCAGTTTAGTCTTCTAGAAAGGTCAGAGGCTTAGTGAATATTCCTACTTTAACAGTTTCTACATGGAACTCTGTATATTCATTATAAATGCATATGAAGAATGTTGAAGCACAGTTAAGTTCGTTAATCAACATATGAGACCCACAAATTTAAACTGATAGTAGGACGTCTTCTCCTCAAACACTAGAGCCAGCACATGCATCCGATCTGTCTCATGATTGAAGGTATATAGCAGGTAAATGAATGGTATTTGAAGTACATCATTATGAAGCAGGAACAAATTTTATAAGGCAATACCTGTTCACCTATGCTGATAAACTTCAGTGTTACCTCCTCGAAAGATAGTATGAAACTGATCTGCAAAAGGATTCCTTTATCAATTATTGGATGCATTCTAGATGGAAAGAACAAAACCAATATCATGTTAAGTTAAATGGGAAATTTCAAAAAGAAGTTTTTCAAAAGATATTTGATCAAATAAATAGGAAGTACCGATAACTTATAATTAGAGAACAAAACCAATATCATGTAAGTTAAATAGGGAACTTTTGAAAAATAAATTTTTCCGAAGATATTGATCAAATAAATAGAAAGTACTGATCATATATAATTGAAGTTTTTTCATAAGCTTTTTGGGATAAGAGTGTAGAAGCTTTATTTTATATTATGAACTGAAGATCAGACTGTTGCATAAAATAATGGAAACACTATCTCGGGAAGCACCTAGAACCAATTGCCTGTTTAACCAATACATGATAGCAACCTAATTAGTGGCACCTGAGAACCCAAAAACAGAAAAACTAAGAAGAATATCACAGAAAAATTACAGTAGGGGCTAGTGTCATGGCTTCTGTTTTTAACGATCAGTAATTGTTTTCGTTTGTATCAAGTGTCAAATATAAAATCTAAACAGGACATAAATACTTTTACATCATGTTACGGCACCCAAAGAGCCCAAACCTGAGGTCATGCAGATTTTTCCAGAACTCGAGTTTAATGGCTGATTTCTGAGGCACACATGACTTGATTTCAACTCCTATGTCTCATTCTATCTGGACGATCATGCATTGATGTTTCTCAAGATTTAATTACCAGCACATAATGTAACAAAAGCAAGATGTCTTTTGGTGATTTCATCAATATCTTTGTAAGGGAGACAGTAATATATAAATCAACAGTTTTTTTTGTCAAAAAAAAAGAGATATTAATCTTATAATATCAAAGAATAAAAGAATTTACTTTTGCATAGAATGATGCTGCTCGAAGAAAGTCCTTGGTGGCAAATGCAGCTTCAGCCTACAACACAGATTAGCCCATATTATACACAATGTGGGCAATGAAAGGGACCTTGCACAAATAAAAGGCAGTAGTTTCTATCACTGTGACTATAAGCTACAGTGAACAGCTGATCAGAAAGCCATATTTTTAGCCACAAATAGATTATAGACTATCTACCCTTTATTACACTTCAGATAGTGTCGAGATGTGACCTGAACTAAATATACTTGGTCTCTTTGGAGTGGATCATGACAACTTGCCAAAGCTGCAGTGTAATCTTTCATTTGCAGATACACCTTCCACATATCTCGGCCTTCATCATTGACAGAAACCTATAAAATGTCAACAAATCCAACAGCAGAGAGAAACAAAAAGATTTAATGTCTCACACAATATGACAAAAAAAGAAGGTCAACTGATTATAAGATGCAAACCTGAAAGATAGAGTTCTGATCATATGCGTAGAAGAGTCCTGCAGTAGCATCACTACATAATCCAATTATACCTCGTGAAACTGATTCTGGCATTAGATCAAACTGCAGTTCTTCAATGATTTGCTCACTGATCCTATTTACAACCTGCATAACGTTTAAAACAAGAGGCAGTAACAGCTTAAAGCTACAACATAGTTTCATTATTAGATAGCTCAATGTAAATTTTGATGCAACCAATAAATAAAAATAATAAAAACCATTAATCTCCACCTCCATTCTGTTAATAACACAAAAACTAAAATGTCAGATGACATCAGAAGCACCTGATGCTGAATAAAAGAAACTGAAACAAAATTTAAAAACTATTGGCATTGTAGTATAGCCATAATGAAGAGTGGAAAGAAAAAAAGACATAACTGCAGTTAAAAGATGACCAAAAATATAAATTGTACAATTAATTCAACACACCTTAACCTTATTGCCAATAAGAAGCAAGAAATGAAATTCAGACACCGCCATGGAACTAGGTTTGACCACTTCAGCACCTTCACACAGTTTTGAGTAGTTCAACAGAGCCTTGTTCTCCACAAAATTCTCATCACCATTTGGGAAACTATGCAAAATTCCATCAATTTTCATGAGATTTTATACCAATATTAATTGGCACAAAACTAAGAACTAGGATACCACGCATGCTGAAGAAATTTAACGATAACTGCAAAACTAACACTGCTCAAGGTAACAAAAAATGAGAAGACAGTGCATAAAGATAGACGGTAGTCTTAACATTTATTTGACACGTAGGAAGAAGAGATAAAGAACGCATTTTCACCTATGTTGAGCCCCAAAATTAAGGCCACCGTGGTAGATTCCTGCCCCTGAAAGCCATGCAAAATGGGTAGCTCTTCTTTGCTTGATAAAGAAATGTAGTTCACTGGAAAAAAGACATAATGGTCAAAGGAAAGTCAAGAAATCATCATTCTCCAGCCATTGTATAGCACAGACCATGTCTTACATCTCAGGAACAATAAAATAATTTCAGCCAATTTTCCATTCTGCATTCATTTGATATTTCTAAGTTAATATTAGCACGGACAAAAGCACTTGCCTGTTTGGTATCTCCCCAGGAAGCTCCATAAAGTGCACTGCACGCTCTTTATAACTTGCAAAAACAGACTGCAAATACCAATATTCGTCATACAATTTAAAATAAGGCATAAATTCTCAAGCAAGAGAAATAATCAGATCGCAACATATTCCAAATCAATGGGCACTTAATCTCATCATATGATAATAAATTGAGGAACATGCATGCGTAAATGGCAAAATATTTGTCATAAAATATCATAAGAAACTGGCTACCATGAACAAGTAGAAAAAGAAAAAGAAAAATGATTGCCTTAGCATTCCATATGCATGCAACAAGCATATAGCTGATAAAAGGGGCACACCTATCCCGAAACAAGATGCATAGCAGATGAAATATCATGAAAGAAAAGGAAGCCTAGAGCATACACTTCCTAAGATAAACTTTTCAATTGAAAATAAGGAAAAGATAAAATGAACAAGTATTTGTGCCCAAAAAATCAAATATCATGAAGCAAAAACGAACATGCACAATCACCGATTTCAGGCATGGCTCTTTTGTGAAACCAATAAATTCTACTTTCATTGTTTTGATTGCCAAGAAAGAGGGTGCCAACTGTATCACTGATTTCAGGCCAATCAGTTTAATCGGTTCTGTTTACAAACTGTTATCAAATGTATTGGCCAAAAGGTTATCCAAATCAGTCAAATCCATTATCGGTAAAAGTCAGCACACTTTCATCGATGGAAGGCAAATCACTGATGCAATTATGATTGCAAACGAAGTGGTTGATGATCTGTCCTGCAATGACTTATATGCAAACTGGATATGCAGAAAGTCTTTGATAATGTCAGCTGGGAATTCATTGACTACATGCTTGAAAAAACTGGATATGGAATCAAATGGAGGAGATGGATAAGAACCTGTATTTCCTCTATTAGTTTTGCTGTTATGATCAACGGTGGCCCTTCATCATTTTTCACTGCCTCCAAAGGTTTAAGACTGGTGACCCTCTCTCCCCTTTGCTCTTTATTTTAACAATGGAAGCTTTGAATAAATTACTATTGCAGGCCAGAACACTCAATCTTATCAAAGGTATCACTATCGGGCATGCGGAAAAAATGGAGATCTCGCACCTATTCTTTGCCGATGATACTTTACTTTTCTGCCAACCTGACATCAGTACTCTTCTTCATTTAAGGTGTATTCTTCTCTGTTTCCAAGCGGAGTCCGGTCTGCGCATCAATTTGGCAAAATCTAAGTTGGTTGGTTTTGGTCCTAACTACGATACAGAGTCATTAGCCCGGGTATTAAATTGCAAAGTGTCACAGCTCCCTATTAAATATCTTGGAGTCCCACTTGGTGCCAACTATAAAAACAGTGCTTCGTGGAAGCCGGTCATCAATATTTTCAAAAAAAGACTTACAATTTGGAAGAGAAATTTCCTCTCCAAAGGTGGGAGACTTACCCTCATAAAAAGTACACTTGTCAACCTCCCAACATACTACCTCTCTGTCCTCACTATTCCGGCCAATGTTGCTAACAGATTAGAAAAAATTCAACACAATTTTCTGAGGGGCAGCGAGGAAAATAGAAGGAAATTCCATCTTGTAAGGATGTAAAACTGCCCAAAAATCAAGGGGGACTCAGCCTTAGATTGCTAACCAATATAAATAAAGCCCTACATGGCAAATGGAGTTGCAGATTCTGGAATGAAGGTGACAACTTGTGGAAAAAAATTGTTGACTGCAAATGGAACATCAGTGGAAATTATCCACACTGTAGAGGGGGCTATAGCACTTATGGGAAAAGCTTATGGAGAGGCATCTCTTGCATCAACAACTTGGTACTGGATTGCTCATCTTAGGCTGTTGACAGAGGTAATAAATCTAAATTCTAGACAGACAAATGGTGTGGTTCTTCCAAGCTTCAACATCAATTCCCTCTCATTTTTGCAATTGCTAAAGATAAGAACATGTTGGTTGAGAATGCTTTTGACAGTGTTAATAGTGGTGGCTGGAGTATCACGGTCTCTAGGAATTTGAAGGATTGGGAAAGTGTTGAATATGAAAGCTTATTAACTCTCTTATCTGCAATTAAGCTCACTGATAACAATGACAAACTTCACTGGACAATTGACAATAATGGTATATTCTCGGTAAAATCCTTCTACCATTATCTGACCCCATACAACAGAATTAGATGTCCGGATTTCCCTATAAAATTGATCTGGAACAGCACTGCCCCTCCTTGGGTCTCTTTTTTCACATGGGAAGCTGCCAAAGAAAGGATTCTCACTCTTGATAACCTCATGAAAAAAGGTATTATTCTGGTTAACAGATGTTTTCTGTGTAAAGTTGATGCCGAGTCCTGTAATCACCTCCTACTACATTGTCCTTTCTCCCATCAACTTTGGTCCATGGTTCTGGGGTTACTTGGCATTTGCTGGAGTACAGCAGGCTCAATACAAAGAGAACTAAATGCTTGGGAATTTTTATGCAAACGAAACAAGAATTATCGACTTATCCCTCTTACAATTTTTTGGATTCTTTGGAAAGAAAGAAACAACCGTGCTTTTGACGGCAAAGAGTATAATTTTGGGAACATCAAGGACAAATGGTTTCACTTTTTCGGGTCCACCTTATTAGGACATCACCTTTGTAATCTTGATGATATTGGTTTTATTGTAGATACACTCTTAGATTTGTAAATCTTTTGTACATGGGTGAAACCCCCTTAGTGCCTACTCTAATATATTTTCCTACTCTTTTATCTCAAAAAAAAACAAACATGCACAATGTTTGATCATGAAAAAATGATAATACCGATATAGAAATGGAAATCAATGGTTTACAAAGACAAAAAGAATGAACGATATTGCAGCTTTTAGTGGTTGTCACTTATAGAGACCCATAAAGTTAGAGGCTTCCA